CCTCCCCCTTGCTTTCTTGAGTTGCGCATGGCACAGGTAATATTGCATATGTGAATCTGGTAAGCCGCGTGGTCTGAAGGGGGATGAGTGGTACACACCAGGTGGATGGTTACATATTTTGAATATATATATATAAAAAATAATGTGAGTGTGTCTCACTTTAATAATCCTATTTTTATTCATATAAATTACTACACTATATGGGCATTTTCATTTTTGGGGAGCCTATCCAGTGAGGAGATCAACAGGTGGAGAACAGTGGAGAATACTTTATAATACTGCAGGAATTGTTTGTGCTGAGGGTAAGGGTAGAGGTGGTGGATATCAGAATTTTTCACTTGGTGATGTTTGTCATGGTATTTTGTTATGCGAGCATGATTATTTGGTTTTGAATATTATTTATCTTAAGAGATTATACTACATGCAATTTACATTTTTTTGCATGGCGGGAGAGAAACACATTGGAATCAAATTGAATATCTACACACAAAAGAAGACACACAAGTGTATGGACTGAAGGGCTTTACTTGCTTCAGTATCTGGTGAGCATGAGAACATAATTCAAATAAGTAAGTTTCCCTGTGACTTTGGCGATGAACTTTTAAGAAACCGTGGGCTGTATTACAAGCGCTGGTTACTTACATAATATATCAAAAAAAGTTACTACCATTGAAAGTGTGACAGTGAAAACTGAAAAATGACCTGGGTAGGAAGAGGTTGAAACCATGATCTTGAAGTAGTTAAAACATTTCAACTCCAATAAATTTTTTTTTTCTTTTTAAAGTGATTTTTATTTTTTAACATATGTCATATTGTATTTAAGGACACTGAAGTGAAATAAGTCAACTTTTTATTTATATTTTAGAAAACATTGTAACAATAAAAAGGATAGAAAGAATTTTGCGTATTGTTAACTGCACCGCACAGGTTATCCAGCCTCCAGGGTCCAGTGTGACACCCAGATTATGTCCAGAGGGACAGAGTTCAAAAAGGCACTTTTGACAGAAAGAGAATTACCAAAGCAAAGCTGTATTGGCATACTTACAATTTGAGATCAGGAAATGTACGCATATGCATTTTTCTAGCACACTATAGGTTTTTGTTTTTTTTTTTTTTCATCTATTTTTTTTTTTTTTAAACGGTTCAGAGACCAACATGAATTTTGTCCAGGCCTTTCCTACACAAAATTAGTAACCTTTGTGTGTGTCAGCATCCTTTGCAGGGAATATACAGTCTTTACTATATAATATATATTTTTTTTTTAGATAAACATGTAAAGGAGATCAGTTTGCTGAGTATGTTATCAAATAAAATAAAAAAACTTTTTTCTCTGTATAGTTTGTCATTGTATAAGTAAAAGGTGCAGCCATGTTTGATAATGCTACACACAGGTTTGGCATCCTACTCTGTGGTATTACACAGTGGTTAAACTTCACTGCTTCCTCTCAATACAAGCAGAGGGGCTGGCTGAATTATTGAAAACCATGCACTCCATGTGTGGCAAATATGTTACTGCAATTGGTATATTCACTGCCTCCCCACTTCAGGAATCCACTTGAATGGGCAATGGGACAGTGTTTGAGAAGGTAGGTTGAGTGCTGCTTGAATATCTGCTTCTTCTAGTGGCTAATCTACAAAAAAACTTTATATTTAATACAATGACAAAAATATGTCAGAGCAAATATGAAAGATGTTCATATCACAAAAGATATACATTGCCTTAGTAATTCACAATACGCATATACTGAAAATACATTACGCTTACCTTTAACCCGTGTTTATTCTTTTTTACATTGGTGGTCAGTGGAAGAATGAGTCTTGAGCTGCCCATAGATTGATCTCTTTTTTGATCAGCCAGTGGGTTTATTAAAAAATGAAACAAATAGATTTCCCCATCCACAGAAGCAAGCTGGATAGAATAATCCTCTCCACTGTGTTATTATACTGTGAAAGTGAGGACTCCTCCACTGTCAGAATACATGCGCTGATCAAATGAAAAGTTTCCAATATTTCAGTTCAAGAGAAGCCAAACATTGCATCAACTTCCCTTGAGCTGGAATAGCCATGAATGAATAAAAATTTGGCTGGTCCTTGCTGAACTGGCTGATTTTTGATCCATCTATGGCCAGCTTAGACTGGTGGTCAGTGGAAGAATGCTTCTTACATTGGGAGTCCGTGGGAAGAGTGCTTACTGCATTTGTGGGTCAGCGGGAAGAATGCTCCCATGACAGATATATAGGATCACTGGTGTCAGTGGTTACTTGCGCAAAAGGACCCCTAGCAAACTCTTAAGGACCCTTAGGGTTTCATTGAACCCTTGTTAAAAAAAAAAAAAAGTCATTCTTCACAGCCGATTCCCAAAAGCATTGCATTAGATATGTGTAAAACAGATGAGCTATAAACTTTTTAACAATGGCAATGTTTAAGAAACAATGTCCCAACAGAAAGGTTTGTAATCATATATGAACAAGAGGGCATCCATCTTTGTGTTTTATTATTATGTACATACGCTGTTTTGTAGTCTGCTATAGTCATGCTTTACTGCTCCACCTCATAATGCAAATCCACGAGTTAACTGACCTCTTCAAGACAATGCACTTCCTATGTAACTCCAAGTGGTTTGCTCCATGTAGTGGCTAATGTATAAACCTTGATATTTAAAGAATCTAGAAGAGCAAGAATGTAAAAAAAAAAAAAAAAAAAAAAAAATCATACCAACAACTACCTTAAGTTAAAACATAGCAATAAAAACTCAAAATATTTATGCACCAATAACATACTATACTTTCCCTTTAACATGGTGCAGCTGTATAAAAAAAAATGGCATTTGTAATCTGCAGTAGCACACGATAATAATTTCAGCACTAAAGGCAAATTTTTTTTTTTTTTTTTTTTTTTTTTTTATTGTTGTTGTTTTTGCTTGAATGGAAAAGGGTCAGACCCTCTATCAAGTTTATTGCTTGGAGGAATGGATAGTTAACACTGGAAGCATGGAATAGTTTTATTGAGGTTTCTATCCAGTATTGTTATAGTGGTGTTTATACAGGGTGTCTGAATTCTGGGCTGGCAGCTTTTTCACAGCAAAGCAATCCCAGTCACCTTGGTTTTCAATGCAAATAAATGGACCCAAGATTGAAGCACTACACTTCAACTTCATAGCCCAGGTACAAATTTGTTCCAGTGTAAACTCAAGTGGAAGAATATAATGAACATTATGCTTCATCACAAAACAGGAAATGAAAGAATATGTAAACCCAACATTTCATATTCCTGATATGTGCCTGCTATACCATGTACTTGTATGAAAAAGTATCCTGTTCTCTTTGTATTGCTTCCTTTGTGTGAAATCCCTGGTGTTCCTGCCAGTCCCTCTGCTTTCCTATTAAAAATTAACTACACTAGGCATGAGAGCACAGCGTGGTCAGTTCTCTAGCTATGTTGGGAACTCAGCCTGCTCTCATCCAATGATAAGACTTGTCTTGATGTCCCTCTCCCCACACAGCCTTTCATTGGGGTACACTGTATTTCAGTGTATGGTTATCTCCTCTCCCCTTGCTCTTATGCAGCTGAGAATGGAGGGAGTGTGATCACTTATAAAAAAAACATTTTAAACACTTGTTTCCCTTATTTTTATATCTATACATACATGTTTTGCTTTTAATTTTTATTTTAAACCGAATGGGTTGTTTTACAAGGTGAGGGTTTACAAATCACTGTAAGGGAAACCTCCCCCCAAAGACACACATGGCACAAAATAACCCAAAAAAAAAAAAAGTTTACCCCTTCCCTACTCTATCCAAAACTAAAATAATTTGGCTATACATACATAACTCAGTGAAGTCCTGCAGTCCTCCACGCTTCAGTGGTCATGTCAATCTCACTTCTATATTTGAAATTAAAAGCTCAGCAAGCCCAAAACAAAAAGTAGGTTTGTGCTGTTAACCATTGTAGGATCCCACCATGTACTTCGAGAAATTATTGGGTAGGAAGTCTGGGTGTGCAGCAAAATACCTTCCTGTAAATTGTTTTCATATACTGCAGCTTTTAGAAAGATGTGTCTTCATCACTTTTCACACTCACACCCTAGACATGGCCTTCCATCTTGTTCACATCCCATTCTGCAAACGCTTGTTGCCTGGCTGTTATTCTGATCATCTGGCATCAATACACTGACCCTGAACAAGTATTGTAGATAAGGAGCTCCAATGATTTTTCCTTATCTGTGCTCCAGTTCCAGGCCAGTGACAATATTGAAGAGAGGGAGTAAGCATAACAGCCAGGCCACTAGACTATTTGGAAGGAGATCAGCAATGGCAGCCTTCATAGATCACTTATGAAGGGATTACGCTAAGCTAACCCAAGACAGCTAAAACAAATGGACACTTCAGCCAATCCACTGGCTAGTCAATAGTGACGGAGTAGAGGCACAAGGCACCAAGTGCCATCCCTTTACTGAAGTCTGTCACTTTTTCCTGGTGAACAGATAAGATGAATATTGCCCCAAACGGACTTCCATGGGCGACAGGCAAACCTAAAGGAAAGTGTCTGAGATAACATGCATGTTTGCGTAGCATACCATTTTCCTGATCTCTGAAACAAAGACGCAGTTCATACTTAACTATATACATAATAGTGGAAATGTATTTTAAAGGAAAGCATCTGTAGCCCTGCTGATTTCTTCTCCCCTGTAAACACAAAAGGGGGAAAGGCAAGCAACAGGCACAGCCAATGAGAGCAGATCTACCTAAAATGCCACCTAGTGGTCACACCCAGGAACTGCAATGATCCTACTGTATTATAACAGCACTTTGTATTAGACGAAAGAGAGCAAAAATGAAGAGCAGGTTAAATGAGTGGCAGGTGGACAGGCCAATTGGCGCCCTGTCCTTCTTACAGTAACAAAAGCTAGGAAAGTGAATGTTTTTTTTTTTTTTCCTTTGTTTTGAATTGAATTTAAATACAAGGAATTCCTCTTTCTCTTCCCGGAAAGCTGTATGGGTTTATTTGAGGGGTTTTGCCACCTCAGCATATGCAAGTTCAATTTCAGAAGCAATGGGGCAGGTGTTGACGAATTCTTCACGTTGGTAAGCATTTTGAAGATAGCGATAAATTCCAGAAAATTCTTGTGGGATCTTGAAGCCTCGGTATTTCTCACAGACCACCTAGAGAAGATAAAAGATGGCAGAACTGTAATTGCTGTACATGTCTCACAAGGCAGACAGCAAAAAAAACAAAAACAAACTGCAATTAGGCCCCCTTCACATAGCCTTAACCTCCCTAACGGTATTCCCGAGTGTAGCTCGGGGTAAAATGTCTATACCAAAAGCGGTAACCCCCGAGCTACACTCGGGCTTACCATGCGGCGTTGCTCAGGGAGTCCCTGCAGCACTTACCCTTGTCCTTGGCTCCCGCGATGTGTTCCCTGCAGCGTCCCCCATCTCCTCCGTCTGATGCCGGCATCCGGCTCCTGTGTTCCGGTCCCCGTGACGTCGGCATCTTTTTGTGCAGGTTTTTAACTTTTTTTTTTTTTTTTTTTTTTAAGTATGACAGATTCTGCTTTAAAGCAAGGCCTTATTTTACTCCCTTTTTATCCACATGAATATTTGCACCTTAAAACAGCAGCAAGCTGCAGCTTCGCTCCTTCAGAGTCTAACAAATGCACTGCAGTTAGTGGCATGCACCTAAATGAAATCTGCACAAGAGATGCAAAGCAAAGGTGCTATCAAAGCCTAACTGCTTCAAAATAACAGTTGGGCTTTAAAAACATGTCATGCTCACTGCATTCAGTTTATTCAGACCACTATCTTTAACTACATACATACATTGCATAGCCTGTCATTACGAGGCCATTTTTCAGTGCTGTGATAGCTTGATTGACATTTACTCAGTCATGCTACACTGGACTCAATGAATTTTTAACATCCTTTTGTTGCGGCAGATAGCACTTTATTGTGTGGTGTTTAATAACCATTTTTTTTTTTTTACTTTAACAAAAAAAAAAAAAAATAATAATCTTTACCTTAATTTCTGTTACAAAAAATGCAAGGCAGTGTAAAAACCACCAAATGACCCCAAAACAAGGGGAGGATGCCGGTCAGTGAAATCCCTCACCATTAATCGGCTGCTGCTGATCCAATCATTCATAAAACTTCACTGACAAATTACTATATCCTCCACTTCCTCTATTGTAAGAAGAAGGGGAGGATCTCCAATGTAAAAAAGGAGCAGTGTGTATACATTTGTGTGATCAATGTGATTGGTCATCATGATGATCACATGGGACAAAGCCACTCGGATTGGCTCAAGACATGGAGCCAGTGATCCAAGCCGTCTATTGCTAGCTCAGTTCACTTACATGAACAAGTGTAATGGCCACCTGTGTGCATTTCCTCCAATGCAATTTATAGGCGGCATTGGTGAAATAATAGTCCACCACTTTACTGTTCAAAAACAGTGGTAGAGGAGCATTTAAAGCTTCTTAATATATATATATATATATATATATATATATATATATATATATATATACAGTCATGGCCGAAATTGTTGGCACCCTTGATATTTCTCCAGGAAATCATGTATTTCTCACGAAACGTATTGCATTAACACATGTTTTGCTATACACATGTTTATTCCCTTTGTGTGTATTGGGACAAAACAAAAAAAGGGAGGAAAGAAAGCAAATTCGACATAATGTCACACAAACCTCCAAAAATGGGCTGGACAAAAGTATTGGCACCCTTTCACAACTGCGGATAAATAAGAATGTTACAAGCATGTGATGCTCCTGTAAACTCACCTGGGGCAAGTAACAGGTGTGGGCAATATAGAAATCACACCTGAAAGCAGATAAAAAGGAGAGACGTTCACTTAACCTTTGCATTGTGTGTCTGTCTGTGCCACACTAAGCATGGACAACAGAAAGAGGAGACGAGAACTGTCTGAGGACCTGAGAACCAAAATTGTGGCAAAATATCAACAATCTCAAGGTTACAAGTCCATCTCCAGAGAACTAGATTTGCCTTTGTCCACAGTGCGCAACATTATCAAGAAGTTTGCAACCCATGGCACTGTAGCTAATCTCCCTGGTCGTGGACGGATGAGGAAAATTGATGAAAGATTGCAACGCAGAATAGTCCGGATGGTGGATAAGCAGCCCCAAACATGTTCCAAAGACATTCAAGCTGTCCTGCAGGCTCAGGGAGCATCAGTGTCAGCGCGAACTATCCGTCGACATTTAAATGAAATGAAACGCTATGGCAGGAGACCCAGGAGGACCCCACTGCTGACACAGAGACATAAAAAAAGCAAGACTACAGTTTGCCAAAATGTACTTGAGTAAGCCAAAAGCCTTCTGGGAAAACGTCTTGTGGACAGATGAGACCAAGATAGAGCTTTTCGGTAAAGCACATCATTCTACTGTTTACCGAAAACGGAATGAGGCCTACAAAGAACAAAACACAGTACCTACGGTAAAATATGGTGGAGGTTCAATGATGTTTTGGGGTTGTTTTGCTGCCTCTGGCACTGGGTGCCTTGACTGTGTGCAAGGCATCATGAAATCTGAGGATTACCAAAGGATTTTGGGTCGCACTGTAGGGCCCAGTGTCAGAAAGCTGGGTTTGCGTCCAAGATCCTGGGTCTTCCAGCAGGACAATGACCCCAAACATACGTCAAAAAGCACTCAGAAATGGATGGCAAAGAAGCGCTGGAGAGTTCTGAAGTGGCCAGCAATGAGCCCAGATCTAAATCCCATTGAACACCTGTGGAGAGATCTTAAAATTGCTGTTGGGAAAAGGTGTCCTTCCAATAAGAGAGACCTGGAGCTGTTTGCAAAGGAAGAGTGGTCCAAAATTCCGGGTGAGAGGTGTCAGAAGCTTATTGATGGTTAAGGAAGCGACTGATTTCAGTTATGTTTTCCAAAGGGTGTGCAACCAAATATTAAGTTAAGGGTGCCAATACTTTTGTCCAGCCCATTTTTGGGGTTTTGTGTGACATTATGTCATATTTTGCTTTTCTGCCTCTGTTTTATATTTGTTCCAATACATACAAAGGGAATAAACATGTGTATAGCAAAACATGTGTTAATGCAATACCTTTTTTGTGTGAAATACTTGATTTTCAGGAAAAATATCAAGGGTGCCAACAATTTCGGCCATGACTGTATATATATATATAATATATACACACACACACACACACACACACACACACCTGTTATACATTTCATTTTAATACAGGGTTTCAAGTATGCGCACACTTTCCCCGATGTGGTGAGAAACTAACTGGGGCTCCTGCTGACATGGCATGGTTACTTGGTAAGGATTCTGTACAGTTCCAGCCAAATAGAGGGCCATTGCACATGCCAGGACATCAGGGGTGCAGCATATCACTATGATGATGAGCTGGAGGTGTCATGGAGCTCCTGAAAATAAAGGCATTGTCTAGTTACCAGCTAAACTTCTGGTTGCCAGCAATGATGGCTCAAATATTGTGCACCTATTGCTCTCTGTTTTTCTATTTTAATGATCAATTTTATCATGGTCATTGAACTACCAAGAGAAGCAGCCATATGGGCGATTACTAGATTGGGGAGTTAATCATTCATTTCCAGTTTATGGTGGGTGTTTTTTTTTTTTTTTTGTTTGTTTTTAAGGGGGGAATGGGTTCTGTCCTATTGGTTCAGCGCACGATTTAAGGCTGCACTCCAGGAAAAGCAGATATTGTCTAAATAAAAGAGGCAAGTGTATTCTTTCTTAATCTTGGTGTGCTTTATGTATTTCTTCTAGATCTGTGTAGTAATCCAGTGTGAAACATGTCCTTTGTACAACAGCTTCTAGTAATAAAGACTATTTGCTGCTCCGCTCACATTGTGCAGGGCGACTTGTTTTGTATCCACCCTTCTCCTGTAGCTTTTTACAGCCTGTAGTGGGGGGAGCTACTGGGTCCCTTCAACAGCTCTACTCTATACACAAGCTATGTACAACCCAGTGGTGATGTCACTACTACATTTTAAAATAACTGGGTTTGCAAAAAGGCATTTGGTGCACAAAAAGGGGATTTAATCCTTTAACCACTTGTCTACCGGGCACTTTTACCCCCTTCCTGCCTAGGCGAATTTTCAGCTTTCAGCGCTGTTGCACTTTGAATGACAATTGTGCGGTCATGCAACACTGTACCCATATGAAATGTTTATCCTTTTTTTGAGACAGACAGACAGCTTTCTTTTGGAGGTATCTAATCACCACTGTGCTTTTAATTTTTTGCTAAACAAACCAAAAACAACTGAAAATTGTGAAAAAAAAAGAAGTTTTCTTAATTTTGGTTATAAAATTTTGTAAATAAGTAATTTTTCTCCTTCACTGATGTGCACTAATGAGGCTGCAGTGATGGGCACTGATGAGGAGGCACTGATGGGCATTGACAGACATCACTGATGGGCACTGAAAGGTAGTACTCATATATGCGGCACTGACTGGCACTGATTGGCAGCACTCATAGGTGGCACTGAAAGGCAGCTCAGATGGGCACTGATATGTGACACTGATGTGCACTGATATGTGGCATTGATGGACACGGACAGGTGGTACTGATGGGGCTACACTGATCATCAGTGCCCTGATGATCAGTGTAGATGTCCCCTCTGAGGAATGCCGATTACCGGCTCTCCTCACACGCTGTCAGCATGACAGCTCGTGAGGAGAGAAATGCCGATAACCGGCATTTCTTTATTTACATGTCCAATCACAGCTGATCACATTACAGAGTCGAAGTCATCGGCTCTTTCTGCTGATCGATGATCCGCTGTGTCACAGCGCACCACCGATCGCCGTGCTGAGCGCCCCCAGGGGTGCGCACATGCAGTTAGTGTGGGAGGATGTCATATGACATCCTCCCAAAACGAGAGAACCGCCGCCCGCCCGTCATTTCCTTATATGATGAGCGGGAGGCGGTTAAGGTTATATTGTAAAGCGCTGAGCAAATTGTTGGAGCTATATGAATTCTATATGTCCCTGTAGCTCAGCTTAATAGTGGTTCTAAAATCTACTTTTTTTTTTACCATAATGCATAAAGATAAAAAAAAAAAAAACTCCTTTCTATCTTTCTTATCACCCACTCCTCTCCCTGCTCCAGCACTACTCCTCTCACTGTCTGCCGTAGGCTCCTGCTGCTGTCAGTCAAACTCCTGTTAGGAGGGAGCGAAGGCATGGCTTACTGGTGCTGTGTGTGTTTATGGACGCACAGAGCCTGGTTCAGAAGTGTGAGCGCCTAGGTCCCCCCCATAGCACATGGCTTGTTATGGAAGCACCTAGGAGGAAGGAGTGGACAGCGCAGGTGGGGTGCTGCCAAAGAGGAGGTAAAGGACCACTCTGCACTATTGATGCATACAGCAGGAAACTAAACTGCTTTTATTTTTAGAAATTTAATTTTAGAAAGAAAAATAAATCGCTTTAAGGAATTGTTGGTTTGACTGTGCATCGCACAGGTGCCTCATGAAGAAGCTATTGTATGGCCTCTTAAACCTCACTTGTCAGAATGAGAAAGAAAAGGCTCTGAATGCTGACAATATTTACACATTTCCAAGTAAGGGTCTAAATAAAGTGGGAAGATTTACGTGCACATGGTGCCAGATGCGTTGGTCCTTCTGTGATTGTTCTATCTTAATAATCAAGGATCCAGACCATATCCCTGGCGGGAAGTGAGCAGCAATGTAAAGGAAAGAGACAAGATGTCCCCCTGTTTACAATGGCTTGGTCTTAGGAAGTGTCTGAGTGCAAAGAGATTCATAAAAGAAGGATGTCTAATCCCCAGAGATACAACCCATCACTCTCCTTCCATTTATACCAACTGACCTGTACTATGTGCAGCTTGGGTAGGAGGTTGCAGTCAGCCAATGTCAGCTCATCTCCATCCAGGAACTTGCGATGTGACACAGTCTCATCCTCTGCGCTGTTTTCATCTATTTCAGCTGGGAGAGGGGTGAGCATGTATGTGTCCAGAGTCCGCAGAGCCTTTGAGAAAGCCCTTTCCAAAACTGAAGAAGAACAAACAAGCAAGTTTAAAAGGAGAGGACGTTGTTAACCAATGAGCAGCAAGGTTCAAGTATGAGGCCTAATAATACACAAGAACACAAATCAGACTGTTAGTGAAATCACCAGGAGACTCTGGACAGTGATGTCAAATGTCTTTAGTGATGGTCTTTAAAGTCACACAGTCCTTTTCTGACTCCATTAGTCCGAATGGTTACCTTCTCGTGTCTCTAAATGTTTTAGGACTCGTTTAGACCATAAAACAGAAAAACTGATGGAAACTGATGCACAGATTTCACTTGCAGAAACATATGTTTTCATGCACACTCCAATGAGTTTTATACACATTGCAGATTCCTGCGCAGAAAAAAATCTGCACATCATACTAGTGTTGTGGTGTGAACAGGGCACATAAAGAACAATTGATTTTGTTGTACCCTTGCAGAACACATGCAGAAAAACTGATGTCTCTGCACCATGGTGTGAACGAGTCCAGCAGGACTCTAACAGAAGACACACTCTCCCAGAGGTGTCCCAGCACCAATGTCTCAGAAAGCTTCTTTGCTGTTCAATAGTACCTGTGTCCCCCATTGTGCACTTCAGTTAATTCCTCCACCCCTATGTCGCCATTACATCCTGCATTGATGACAGGGGCTGAAAGGTAGGAACCTACATGCACATGCCTTGTGACGGATGCCCTACACTACCCAAACCACAAAAATACAAGATAACCCATCAATTTGTCCATTTAGGTCAAAGTGGCAGAATCAAAAAGTGTAATATATAGCTGTTTATCAATTCTTAGATGAGGTAGCTGCACTAATTTTCTCTCCCCCCCCCCCCCCCCTTTATTTTAACCTGGGGATCTTGGGAATAACAAATCTGCTGTCCTAGGGTGGCTACTCAGGACAATTATAGCACAGGTGCATTGGTTTAAATAGGCTGTGTTTGAACACAACAAGGGGGGACATTTTTACCACATTGCACAGTACCTCAGACATGGCATGCATCTTTGCAGCTTTGGTGGGGGGTTGTGGGTGGTAGAAATGCAGCTTAATCGCCTGTTTTTACCACCACCCCTTTCCCCCAACTGCAGGGATAGATTAGGCATTACACAAGAGAGTTAGCCATATTTTCACTTGGACACACGTTGACAGATTGAGCTCTTTGTTCTATTGAACTGGACAGACAACCTGAGGCTCATGTCACATTGACAACTATGCAGGACAGCCTTCCACTGACTCCTGTGGGATCGCTCCCTTGCTGCCCAATCTACCACAACCGCTAGCAAGGCATTGACATCTCATGGGAATTATTCTGTAGATTGTTAAGTGCTCTCTTAGCAATGCTGGTGCTGTCGAACTGTCATCAGCTTCAAGATCATCGATGTCACATGGCACTTATAGTGCATTTCCACTTTTGCAATCAGATTTTAAAACTTTCCACTATGTTTTTTATATGGTCCTGTTTACACTGGAAAATATATCTTACTTTTCTAGTTGTTTCTGTGACACAGCTTTATACATAAAAACTATGTTGGCAGCCTGCAAGTTATTTTGAATCATTTCTAAATGCAATTAGAAGAAACATTTTTCTTTAAAAAGAACATTCCCATGAAATTTACCACCCAAGCCTTGAGATCTTTAAAACTTTGGGATAAAACCTACAATATCTGTTCTAACAAAACTGGAAATAAAATAGCCAGGCTTCAGATGTCTCTCTCACTTACCCTGGTTAGCTCCTGGATTGGAGTTCTTGATGTAGGCAGAGAACTTGGCAAAGACATCCAGCCCAGCTGTGTGGGATTCAGGATTTCTGGCGGCCAGCTTTGGGTATCTGAAAAAAACCCCATAACATTCATGCATACAAATATGGACAATAGCTGCATTTGAAAAACAGGCATCAGGGTCTAAAAAATAAAAAAATAAAAAAAAATAGGACACCAATTTTTTTTTGGTTAAAGTTCAAGGAATGCTTACAAAGTTCTACAGGATGGGCTGGGAAATAATAAAAGTATTTCCAATTGTAACCAAAGGCTCACTTTCATATTCAGAGCTGCACGAGAACAATTATAATAAAATTTGACTGGCTATGAAGTTCTAAAAGGCCAGATTCTTCTATAGTATCATGGTTTTGATATACAACTAGCATGGTCATTGGAAACATTTCAGAAATTTGATTTACACCCTATGGTTTGTATCTCCTAGGCCTCATTTAGACATGCAGTTGGGGAGCAGTAAAACTTTGTGGTTGAACTGTTTTTTTTTCTGCCTCCCAACCACCCTCTTTAGGTTGCAATAGGCAGCGGATCGTGTCTTTACATTCTGCGGACGAGATTCGTCTCACCTGTGGCAAAAACCATCCGACCACCCATTCGGATGAAGGAGACACTTAATAAGTCAAGCAACTGTGTGCAATGCACACAGTTGTGGCACTTTTGGCAGCAAAAAATTGGGTTAAAAACAGGCAGTGAGGAGGCGTTCAATTGCCTCCTTGCCACCTATCACCTCTGAAAAGGGATCAGAATGCAGATTTCTCTTCATAGGACAGGTAGATTTAGACACAAGTGTAAATCTACCCTTTCTTCACACAGTGCCATGGGTGATGGGGCGCTTTAAAACACCAAAGTTTATCAAAAGCTCAACTTTTGCCTTTTAAATAGTGTAGTGTAGAGATTTCTTATAATTCTTTTAGTAAATGCTTACTAAATTCCAGAGAGTTCTGTGAGTTTGTGGTCATTTGGAAGTGTTCCTGTGATAAAATGACAATGCCAACCACAGGTTTCTAAGGCTGCGATCGTGTTGTCACCTCAGTGAGCAGTGTGACAGAGTGATCATCAGTCTGCTGCTTCTCTGATCACTGTCCAGTCACAGTCTGGAGGAGGAACAAACTGTAAATGATACTGAACTGCAGTAGAGAAAATCCAGGTTCTCTGCTCTTTCAGACAGAGCAGTGTATGTTTAAAGACTGGATAGCAAGAAATAAAATCTTTCAGCAGATAAAACAGCTTTCATATACTGTAAGTAATTGCTTGCAGTTAGGCTTTAACAATGTAGTGATTAAAAAAAAAAAAAATTTGTGTCATATCTGATGGGAGTTTATTACAGGTATTTATATAATGCTGACAATTTATGCATCACTTTACATACTGTACATTCACATCAGGATCTTACAATCTAGGGACCCCATTTCCCATGCATAGATACACATACTAGTGCCATCCAGGGGAAACCAGAGTGTTCAAGGTAAACCCACACATGCACAGGGATTACATGAAAACTCCAGTAGACTGTGTCCTGACAGGGGTTCAAACCTAGAATCCCAGTGCTGCAAGGCAGAAGAGCTAAACACTAAGTGCTGTTATTGGTTTCAAACTTCTTACAGTTCTTGGTATAATGGCCACATTACCAATCTGTTATTACCATGATTATTTGCATGTCATGGATACCTACTTAGGGGGGCAAAGGGTCTCTTCCATGAACTCCTCTATCTTGTTGATGTCAGTACGGACCTCATCCCCAAAACGCAGGAAGGGAGGCTGAGCTCCGGGGGCGATGTTTTTCAGTATCTCTGGCTTCCTGTAGGAGTAAGGAGTAAGAAACACATACATATTCAGAGCAAAATTCTAAAAAGGCGATAACAAAAAAGGATAAAATATATATATATTTTTTTTTGTTTTCGATCTATATTGGTCAAAACAACAGACAAATGTTTGGCCATCATGGTTATTTTCAACTATGAGAGATGAAATAAAAAAGGTAAAAATTACAAAAGAATGACAAAGCATGGCAAATCCTAGTCTAGGTAACTGGTCATAATGTCCAGTCTTGCTGACCATTACTATGTTACCAAGACTTTTCAGGATATCAGTACCCTAAAATATTGCAGGCCAACTCTGGTCTGAATCCTTATAACTTTAAATCATATGTAAAGCAGAACCGTTTTGTTTTGTCTTGGATAGAGTAGAAGAATTAGACCCCCTGTCAGGTATTTATTGTTGTCTGTGTCCCTGCTTGGGAGACCCAACCTCTCTAATTATACTGTTCACAATTATTATATTGAAAGAAAAATTCCTCATTTTGGATTGTCACTATAACAGGAATAAAAAGGGAAAATCTTCCAAATGGGGTCACTAGTTCTGTGACAACCAGGGATTCCCTCACTTTGGAGGAATTTCCTGTTTCGGCTATGGGACCGGAAGCATACTTGCTTGCTAACTGTCCTGGATTTGGGACCCTTTTTCCCAACACAGAAAGTGAGGGGAAATCCATACAGACCCCACTCCAGCAACAATAGATCTCCCAGCAGCTAGCAACCTCTCCCACTCAACAGTAGATCCCTTCAAGCAACATAAGACCACCGGGCAACAATAGACCCCTCACACAATAGACTCTCCCAGCAACAATGGACCCCACCCCAGCAACAATAGGTCCCCCCCAACAATAGAATTCACTCCAGCAACAATAGACCCCCCCCACAGCAACAATGGACTACCCACAACAAAAATGTCACCTCCAGCAACAAAAGATCCACCGCAGCAATACTAGACCTCCCCCAGCAGCAACAACAGGTTTCCCCAGCAGCCAGCAACCTTTCCAACAGTAAATCCCTACCAGCAACAGCAGATCCCCCACCAGCAATAGACCCTCACACAAATACAGATCCCAATCAGTGACAATAGATCCCCCAGCAGCCAGCACCAATAGATACTCGAACACACCCCTTGACATTACATATGTTCAGTGTTGGAGGTGCTGGAATTGTATCCCAACCCACATTACTGCTGAAAAAAAGACCTGGATCTACTTTCTCTCAAAAAAAAACCAAATAAATAAATAAAATGCAGGTGTGAAAAAGACGACATGTTTCGTGTTGAAAGCGGAAGTGATGTAACATTCTTTTGCTTCCTCTGTGTGATGAGACACACAGTGGGACAGGTGGGAAGCCTCACTTTCGTCATTCACTGCGTGAGCTGCTAGTAATACGGAGTCATGTCAGAGCTTACTGACCTTCAAAGGGGGCAAATTGTTGGTGCCGCTTAGCTGGTGCCTCTATGACTGAATTTACCAATTAATTTGCCATGCCGCGAGGAACAGTTTCAGAAGGTTATTATAAGGGCATATACAGTTTCTGGGAAAATGGAAATAATTGTAGAAAAAGAATGTTACATCACTTCCGCTTCAACATGAAACAGGTCCTCACTTTCACACCTGCATATCATTTAGGCTAGGTTCACATAAGTGTGGGTGGTGCGGCTGCGGATCTGCACGAAAATCCGTGCAGCCGCACCACCCGCACAGAGGAATGCAGATCCACGGGCAGGTGCCATTAGTTGTAATGGCACGCCGCCCGCACTGGAAAATGCAACCTTACTGAGAACCGAGGTTCCCATGCTGGCTGCGTTTTAGAAGTGCAGAGACTTCTTACCTGCGTGTCACGGGAGTTCATTCAAATGAATGAGCTCTCGTGCTTGCGCAAAACGTGGCCTGCACGGCCGCATATATGTGAACCAGGGGTTAGGGTTTCCATATTTTGGCCTATCCCCTGTAAGTCCTATCCCTCCTGGTCATTGTCCTGGTGGGGGTGTTTGTATCAAACTCCACTTTCCTGAAATACCTTTATGCTTACTGAGTCCAGGGGAAGGACTAGCTACCTTTATAATAATAGGTAAAACCTTGCTGAACCTATTCTTCTATGCCAGCAAAATTAGTCTTCTAAATGGAAAAAACCTGACACACCTACGCGTCATTTAGGAAAGCCCAAAATAAGAGCTTATTCACACCAGATGTAGCCAAGCACTTTTTAACCCCTTCCTGCTCAATGTCATTAGTACAGTGTCAGTGCTTTTTATTAGCACTGATCACTGTTTTAGTGTCATTGGGAATGTCAGTGACAGTTAGTTCCCCCAGCATCAGAATGCCTGTCGCAGTCCTGCTATAAGTCGCTGATCGCCACCATTACTACTAACTAGTAGCTAGTTACTAGTAAAAAAACAAAAACAAAATTCCAGTATATATACACCACCATTTGTAGAGACACTATAACTTTCAGGTAAACCAATTAATTTACACACACTGAGATTTTTTTTTTTTTTTTCATTAAGCAAAGACATGTAGCAGAATACATTTTGGCCTAAATTTATGTCAAAATTTGATTTTTTAATTTATTTTACTGGATATAGTTTATAACAAAAAGTCTTGTTTTGTTTTTTCAAAATTGTCGGTCTTTTTTTGTTGACTGTTTTTTTTTCTTTGCACTGAGGCGATCAAATACCACCGGAAGAAAAAAAAAAAAAAAAAAAGGACATACATTTCATTTGGGTGTAGTGTTGCATGACCACGCAATTGTCACTTAAAGTAACAGCGCTGTATCACAAAAAATGGCCTGGTCAGGAAGGGGGGGTAAAACCTCTGCAGAAGAAGTGGTTAAATGCAGTACAACCGCCCATAAAATAAAAATGAATGTACTTCAATGAGTGTAGTTTGCAGTGCTTTGTGTGAATGGATCCGTGTATTGGACTGGTCTCTGAGTGCCGGAATATCTAGCTCCTGCACTTGCACAGGAGTGATGCCGTCCCCCGCCGGCCAATGAAGGTGGCCTGAAGACCGTCACTCAGAAGAAGATGCCAACATGGGACCATTGGACAGGTAAGTATTCACCCTTTAGTTCAGCTGTCCGTTTAGTGCGAAAGAACCCTCACACATAATGACGGACCTCTACAAACATTAATAATTACAGCTCCTCTCACTTTTCAGGACAGTTCATCCAAAAGTGCAATTCTTATTTTTAATCCGAGTAAACCAGCATACTGTGGTAGATCAATACTTTGAACGATTGACCCAGAGTAAGCATGTGGCAAGTAAAAGCAAATATTAGAATATCTGGTGTGCATATTGTTCTGGGTCACACACTTCTTGGATTTTTCTGCATCAAAAAACTAAAATGATATTCCTATGATGTCATCAAGCTATGGTCTACTAGAAAGTGGTACACTAAAAGTCTATCAGAACAAGCCACAGATTGGTTGCATCTGTCACAAGCAATTTACTACAGGTCATGTTTCCCAGGTTGGTTCTACCCCTCCTCTGTGCCTCTTGTGGGAGAACTTTGGAAACAATGCAAACAGATTCAGAGAATGAATGAATGAATGGCTCTGCCATATGGCATGCTGCCACCGTCCATACACAGATCACGTGCAGAGACATTTAGAAAGACAAGTCACATTTTTCTGCTTTTCATGCTGTCCCTACTCTACACACTATTCTCCAATAGTCTGCACAACAAACACATGCAATGAAAAGGAAAGAATAGTGTATGCTCAGCAAGGATAGACTTGGAGCGATTATTGCAGTTTTGTTTTTGTTTTTTTAATTACAGGTACTTATGTAGCACTGTCAATTTATGTAGATATATATATATATATATATATATATATATATACATACATACATACATACATACACACACACATACATATACACACATACATACACACACACACAGTATATATTACATACATACACGCGCGCGCACGCACACGTCCCTGGGATTCGATCCAAAACAATACTAGTGCTGCTAGACAGAAGTGCTGATCACTTAGCCATTGTGATGTGTTTATCTTAGATTATCATTGTACATTATTTTTAGATACATATAAGCTTCCTATGCCATATTTCGTTGGATAGAGAGAATTTGGTTGGCCGCACATCTAATAAAATCACCTTTATTAAGGAATTCTTCACGTATAAGCTCCACAATACATAATAGGGGAATACAGCATTTCCAGCCAATGCATTTCACGTCAAATCAGCGTTTAATCGTGGCTCACCAAGGGGTGATTTGGCTTGAAATGCATTACATGGAAATGCTATATTTCCCGGTTATGTAATGTGGAGATCAGGGGTGGACTGACAACTCATGGGGCCCCTGGGCAATAGGGGGATCATGGGGCCCCTGTGTCCTTTCCCAAACTCAAAAAGGTACCAGGAGGCATCTCATGGGGCCCCCTACTGACCCCGGGCCCTCATCAGTCTGCCCCTGGTGGAGATGCTTTTACATGAAGAAGGTCATAATAAAGGGGATTGTATTATATGTGCAGCCAAACAGTTTCTCTCTCTTTCCATGATGACTGACGCGGACAAGGTCAGCACCTATTAGTGTGGTAGTGGAGGTGGAACAGGAGGCCAACCTGGAGCAGTATTTTGCTTCTTTTGAGTTCATATTTTTATTACTGTATTAAAAACAGATGTGTAGATATTACTAACTTTGCCTTTCTTCCCCATTTTTTTCCCTTCCTTCTCCACATCCCTGCTTGCCCCCCCCCCCCCCCCCCCACCCCCAGAGGGGGCTTTTAGCAACTCATTGGAATTAATCTGTCTCTTTCTCACTTAACAACTATTGAAATAACTGCCCATACAGGCAGAACATTGGTTTTTAATTAATCAGGCCAGCCTTGCATTGTAGGAAGAAGCAGCAAATCACGATTATTGTAAAGCTCCGCAAAGCAAAAAATCAGAGCCTGAATATGTAATGACCAAATACAGCCAGCTTTTAGGTACAGATATTATAAATTAGACACTAAAGCAAGGCTTTTTTTTAAAAAAAAAAACAGTAACATTTGTAAAAGGACTTTTTACATCAAGATCACTGAGGTTTATCTCCAAAAATATTGAAAAACTATACAATCCTTTTTGGATCTCTAAATTTTCCTGAATAAGTATGATTAAATCCTCTTATGAATCTTTATGTAATAAAATAGCATGTTGATAGAATATATATACACAAATCTATCTTTTTGGGGTCACACCAGGTCTGCTGAACACAATGCAAGGGCACATAGCAAACAAACTGTTTTCTATGTGCCCTGTTGTCACCATACATGTGTGGTGGTGTACATTTTGTAAAAATTAAGCATGTAAGCAGTGAAACTCCCCTACCGTTTGTTTTGCACCACAGTTGCAGCATGCTGTGGTGCATGAAGCTGAAAACAAGTGACACTTCAATAAAAGTTAAGAAAAAAAAAACCTATGACATCTGCACAAGTGCATTTTAATGTGCAGGCTGGTGTGAACAGGCTTTAAATACGTTTTATAGTGCTTACATGATTGTGTTACATTTTAGCTCTCAGAACCGGCCTCCGATTTTTGCACCCTCGGGCACAGGGAACACTGACATGTCATGACCCACACATTGATTGATCTGTATGTGGTTCTCACGCGGTGTCAGTGGCAGAATACACAGAAGTCATACCATCCCTAGCAATCGGCTCCATTCTCTGCATCTTGGGGCTCTTTCACATAAGTACGGAATTCTACAGCAGCCTTAAAGTAGAACTATATGCAAAACTTTTTTTCCCATTTTGGATAGAGCAAGACAAGGTTATAATACCAGTCACATTTTGTCATTTGTGTCCCATTTTGAAGATTTCCCTTCACTTCCTGCAACATAGACAAACAGGAAGTGGGAGGAAATCCCTGACAATTAAGGAAATTCCTTGGTCCCTCCCAGGTCACCAGAATCAGTGTCCCGATTGGAAGATTTCCCTTCTATTACTTTCTGGGGACAACCCAAGATTTGGGATTTCCTTACTTTCAGTTTCAATGATAATGGTAACCAGGACAAACAGAGGGTGAATCTCCCTAAGGCCTCGTTCACACCATACATGCAGAAAACCTGATAGAAACTGATGCACAGATTTCACTTGCAGAAACATAAGTTTACATGCACGCTTCAATGATTTTAAAACACGTTGCAAAATTCCTGCGCAGAAAAAAAAAAAAAATCTGCATATCATACTTGTGTTGTGTGAACAGATCATAGGAGAACAATTGATTTTGTTGTGCCCTTGCAGAATGCATGCAGAAAAACGGACATCTCTGCACCATGGTATGAACAAACCCTAAGGCTCATTTTTAAAGGCAATTTTTTTTTTCCAAGTCCTCTGTTCTGCCCTAACACTCTCATGCTTAGGTCTCAAAGTAGACTTGCAGAATATGCTACCCTTTAGCCAACTCATAATGCTCTGGGAATTCTTTGTCAGACATTAAATATTTGTGAAATAAAGACTGTATACATATAGTAGTTTGTCTTTAGCTCCCCTCACCTGGAGGACTACTCACCTTTTCATGTCAACTGTAGTGACATTAAACGTGACTCCTTTTAACCAAAGGACCATAAAGAGGCGCTGGGAAAAGGGGCAGTTGCCAATACGCTGTCCATCACTGCCAGCCTAACCAGGAACAAAAGAAAAAAGGAGTGTCATCAGAAACCTGAACAGCCAATTCATTGTCATAACATCATAAAGAAAAAAAAAAAATTAATTATTCACACACTTGTGTGATCATTCACAAACAAGAATTGCCTCGACAGTGACAACTTTTTTAACTGACAGTGTTCAGTGGGTTTTATCTTTCTCCAAATCTCGTCTCCCCTTCCCCATGACCAGATGGCAACTTTTGTTATACTCTTTGCCAATACCCTTTGCCACTAATTTGGAGAGCACCAATCCTGTGTTTAAGCATGTCTGAACCTAAAAAGTGCCAGACATGGCCGGATCTAGGGGGGTGCTGGGGTGGGCTGTGCCCTCCCCAATGTCAGTTGTGTATCCCCAAAGCCAAGGAATAACCTGTGGTTTGTTCCACCCACCACCGCTGTCAGTGCTACGGCACTAGCTACATCTTTATGTAAATACAAATAGAACTGATGCTGGGAAGTCATAGCGACCAACTCATGTGCTTGCTCGCCTTTCTCTTCTGGACCTGCTGTCAGTGTCCCACCTCCCTGCTTTCCCATAGCTGCTCTGGGGACCTTGAAATAAGGAGGAAGAATACTGTGGACTCTGAAGGGGAAGAACTCTAGGGACCCTGATGTTGGGGGGAGCTCTGTGGTCCCTGATGAAATGGGGGAAGCAGGGATTATGCAGAGATGTAAGTGGGGGACTCCAGGGATCCTGTTGTAAAGGGTGGGCATCTGGGACCCTGATGTAAGGGGCGGGGGGTCTCTGAGGGCCTGACAAGACCAGGGAAACCCGAGACCCTCCGTTAAGGGAGTGGCTCTAGGTAGGGAACAGGATGTAAGGGGGGGGGGGGGTTGGGGACCATGATGTAAGGGAGGGTGACTCTAGGGACCACGGGGATCTGATATAAGGGGTTAACTCTGGGGATCCTGATTTAAGGTGGATGGCTCTGGGGACCCTGTCTGGGGGGGGGGGGGGGATAACTCTGGGGACCCTCATTTACAGAGGGAGACTTTGGGGACCTTGACACTGGGGAATTACTCTGGGGACCCTAACATAAGGGGGTGTATCTGGGGACCCAGATGTAAGGAGAAAGACTTTGGTGTTTGAGGGATGAACCCTGATGTGAGGGGGATCTGATGTACATAGGTGGACTCATTCTGACTGCTGCACTCTATAATGTTGTTTTGTACATTATTTACTCCTCTCCCTTGCAAGCTATACAATATGTTGTACATTACATTGTCCTGACCAAAGTGTTCATTATTCCAACAGCAGCTGGTTTTACTGAAGTTGTTCTTTAAGGTAGGCTCACAGACAAAGTGATCACTTTTTGTGTGAAGAAAATGAGAAAACAAAATACGTGATTTACATTTTTAAAAATGATCCTTCGTTCTGAAATTTATGTGCATCTGTGAGACTGTCACTTATGACATAGTAATATGTGCTGACCCCTGTCTTTCATCCTGCTGACCCTGTACACTGCCCTACAAACTGCTGACCCTATACTATGCCCCTCTGACATTTTTTACTGCACCCGTACTTCAGACAGGTTAGATCCAGCCCTATTGTCAAAAGGGTTAAGAAGCCTGCAAGGTCAGGGCAACAACCAGGGACAAGCATCATCTAGCGGCCCCTACAGGGGTAGCTCTACACAATGAAGGATGGCAGCACTTCCATGGACTTCCACAGAAGATGACCCATCACTCCCCTTGAGCTTGACACATATTTGGACACGCACCATACCAGGCATCCGAGTTACTCATTAACAATTAACATGTTGTGAAACTATTCCTACAGGAGACTCACAGTGAGAGGGAGGGTTGATACAGGAACAATGCCAATTACACTGTGCAAGACAAAAGAGACAAATAATAGCCAGAATTAACAAGAGGGAGAAGTATTGATAGCTGGGTGGAGAAAGGGATAGAGAAAGTGGGAGGACAGAAGAGAGGTGTATATGAAAGTGAGCTGTTCCTTCATCTCCCACACTTGGCACTCCAAGACATGGCAAATTCCTAAGACACCTCGTGTCACACCCATCTCTGCAGTCTGACCTAGACCTGCAAGTGTGTCAGTAGAAAGAGGCCGTGAGGACATAGAGGTGTTTGTACAAGAAGATCGTGTGACGGGAACAGAGAGTATCATATAGTACTGTGTCATAAAAGCAAAACCAGAAAAAGTGGAAAGAAATTATAGGAGGTGAAAAGAGATTATAAAAACATGGAAACTATAGAAAAATTAAGAGACTATGGAAAAAAATGGGAATAAAAAAAAAAAAAAAAAAAAATGCAAAGAAACTATAGATGGAAAAGAAAAAGAAACTATTGAAAAAAAAAAAAAAAAAAAAAAAAACTTAAAATTTCCCTTTAGCAAAAATTCATGCCAGTTTTTTGGTCAATCCCGATTTCTTTTTATCACTTTGTGCATGCTTATAATACAAGTATATCTAAAACCTAATTAGTACCTGCAATTGTTTCATTCCACCAGTCAAGTTTTAAAATGTATTAATCTTCTCGAATTTGAAATATTTGTTCTATTTTTTTCTATAAAAGTGAACTATAACAATTTGAAAGATTATACCAAGAGGATCTAGGTCAATCAATGTTTGTGCATTCTAGGTGCAGTCTGAACATGGAAGGTGACATTGGGTTGGGAAAAAAAAAAAAAAAAAACACAAAACACATATCTGTGTGCGATAAAGTTTCTATTTGTTCAATGGCTACTGCTTTGTAAAACAAGATTTTCTGGGGGCATTTGGGGTACCCTGGCCTCCTCCTGTGTCTTTCAGTAGAATCAGAAATTTTACATGTGTATGAATTATTCCATTCAAATCCAAGAAATCTGTCCCTTGACCAAAAAAAAAAAAAAAAATACGGGAGAACACAATTACTGTGCAACACTAGTATCAGCAAGTAGAGCCTGGATATGTAAGGCTGCCCTTATATAATGAAGTTTAGGTATGGCAATTTTTACATAGTTACGATGGCCCAGCTTATGGCACTGTACATATGTATGTGCCATACCTGTAGGATCCCTGTGTTCACTGCTACTACAGCGATCTCCACAACATCCAGTCCAGCTTCCTGTAATAGGGCGACAACCCTTCCTTTCAAGGTGTGCATGAAGAAGAGTTGTCACCCTCCCATTATTGAAGTATGCTCAACATGCCAATGCACATGTGGACATGTCCAGCCTCAGGTGCAATCTATTAGAAGGAAGAACTCTCAACACTGCAATGATTGACAGTCACTGCTTCTCAATACTTGCAAGCAAGTGGTGGTGGTGAATTTATTTTCACTTTTGATATGCACAAAAGAAAAAGCCAAGATGTGCACAACAGTGGAATTTAAAGTAAATCCTGCTACGCCCCCCCCCCCCCCTTCCCTACACACACACACACACACACACACACACACACACACTAAGTGAGCTTAACTAATTTTATAATTATAGCTTTTTTTTACGAAGGGTCTAGTTATATTTTAACTGCCCTTCTTCCCTGGTTGTAACCAAGCACTGCATTGCAAGCAGGAGGAGGAGAAGTCATGTTCCCCATAACCAGGCGCACTATATTTTTTCTGTGAGGGTACAAATGAGACCATATAGTGAGAACATAGAAGGAGCAAGTAGAGGGCAAGTACAAGCTACCCATGCCTAAAAGGGCAGATGGCAGTCCTGCTTCAAAGCAAACCTAAGCCTGAGTGATGTAATGTACCCTGTGCTGTATGTTACACACTGCTACACTCTGTATGTTGGGTTATACATTGCACAATGTTAGTCATCAAAGTGCTGTCATCCTTAACAGTATGTAAACCCGACATTTCATATTCCTAAAATGTGCCTGCTGTACCATGTACTTGTATGTAAAAAGGATCTTGTTCTCTTTGCTTCCTTTGTGTGGAATCCCTGGTGTCCCCGCCAGTCCCTCTGCTATCCTATTTAAAAAAAAAAAAACAAAAAAAAAAAAAAAAAACTGACCACAGTAGGCAGGAGAGCACAGTGCAATCAGTTTTCTAGCTGTGCTGGGCACTCAGCCTTCTCTCAACCAATGATTAGACTTGTCCTGACACATCCCCACTGTACAGCCATTCACTTGGCTGTTCAGTATCCTGCTGTTTCTCCTCCCTTAGTTCTCTAAGCTAGCCACTGCTGAGAACAGAGGAATGTAAAAGAAAAAAAAAAAAAGTTATATGTATACACAATGTTTTGCCTTTCATTTCTATTTTAAAAACTGAATAGGTTGTTTTACAAGGTGAGGGTTTCCATATACTTTCATAGAAATAGATATGATATACGGGCCATATACAGGAAATAGGTATGGATATACAGGCCCTATACAAGAAATAGGTATGATATTCTTATTATACAGTATTTATAAAGCACCAACAGTTCGCTCAGCGCTGTACATTACAATGGGAGACAGAACATGCGACAGTGCAGTAACAATACAATGCGATACATGAGGGGTTCAAGGGCCCTGCTCCTTGGAGCTTACAATCTAGGAGGGAGGGGATAGTGGTACAGGAGAAAATAGCTGTGGGGGATGGAGTGGTAGGAAGAGTGGAGGAGGTCGGGAATTAGCAGGGGGGGGGGGGGGTAGGCTTCCCTGAAGAGGTGGGTTTTCAGGAATGCACCTAAAGGAGAGGAGAGTAGGTGATAGTCTGATGGATTGGGGTAAGGAGTTCCAGAGTATGGGTGACGCCCTGGAGAAGTCCTGGATTTGGGCATGGGAGGAGGAGACCAGGGAACCAGAGAGGAGGTCCTGTGAGGAGCTGTATTCAGGAGCTGTATTCAGGATGGACTGAAGTGGGGATAGCCTGTGGCGAGGCAGGCCAGTAAGGAGGGAGTTACAGTAATCGAGTCGTGATATGATGAGGGAGTGGATGAGCTGCTTAGTGGTTTCTGGGGTTAGGAACGTGCGGATTTGATATACGGGCCATATACAGGAAATAGGTATGGCTATAAAGGCCCTATACAAGAAATAGGTATGGATTTTTCATC